GCTACGAGAATTCCCGAGGAACTTAAAATCGGATGCGAAAACGAAGAAAATCTTTCGTTTCTGCAATCTGCCGCACGAGATAGCTGCAGACACCGAAGGTATCTTCATGCAATATTATCCTTTATATTTTTAAATATAAAAAGTAACATATTACAATATAATAATTTGAATAAAAGTAACCGAAAATGGAATATTCCAGTCACGATGACCAGCACTTTCGTATCATAAATCAATAATATTCCTCATCAATCATATTAAATGTTACTCAAGTATCAAAGAAGTCGATCGTCAAAGCTCTTCGGTGCATAATCGCAGTAAATAGTAAATGGCACAAAGTCAATAATCCCGTTTGATCTTACTCGAGCTAGAAATCGGTATAAATCACTTTCTTCTTGCATAAGAAGTGTACGCGCATAGAGCACAAGAGTTTTAAAATTATCTTATTATATTATACGAGATTGCGTGTATAATGCACATAAAATATCATGCGTAAAATATCGCACCTTGCTTCCTTACTTTCTAACAGGGAAGCTCGACGGCAATTTGACGTTGAGCGGCATCCTGATCTTCATCCGTCACGGTGACCGGGGTCCTCTGACGCACATACGGAACATAAGCAGCATCAATTGCGGGGGCGAACTTGGCACCGTAACCGAGCTCGAGACTATCTACGAGAACTACGTGAGCTTCGTGCAAAACGCGTCGAGCTATTCTCGGGCTGCCTGGGCCCAATTCCTGGGTCCGTTCCACGGCCTTCCCGTGCTGCCGGCGAACGCACGCGACTGCAGGATCGGTCAGCTGACCACTCTCGGGGTCCTGCAACTGTTGAAGACCGGGATCGCGCTGAGAAACGCGTACTATCATCGACTCAATCTCGGCAATGGTACCTCCTTCGGCAAAGATGTTATCGTTTACAGCACCTCCTATCGCAGGACTGTACAGAGCGCGGTTGCGTTACTATACGCTCTCTTCGAGAACGACGGCTTTCAGAGTCTGGCGAGGATCAGCCTGCAGGAGAGCCAGAGCTATGCGTTCTGCAGCAATGAGTGTGCTTGTCCTGCGGCCGAGAAGTTCCTAAAACAACACTTGAAAGTAAATATATACGATCGAAAATCTATAAAAAAGCCGCTGATTTCGTAGACTTCCTACATATTGTGACCAAGTGACCAAGAGATAAATTTGATGGTCGTTTCCTGTGAAATTTGAGCGATACAATAATCTTTGTAATTGTTTACAAATTTATACGATTGGTATGTCCGTTTAAAGAATATACAATTATAAAACATCGTCCTTTAAATTCGAGTAATTTTTATGACAAAGTAATTAAAACCTGCGTCAGATTTCTTGTGCAGTTTCGTTTCATTTTTTAAAAGATGTATGTACGTAAAACGGACTTGTCACTTTTCCACCTTTCCAGGAGAGATCCGATAAATTTACATTTGCGCTATTCCCGTCTTCCCGAGGAAGTTTTAATGACCTGAGATCTCATTCCAGTTTTCTCAGAAACATGTTAAATAATCTGCATCAACATCGCTCTTCTCCCTGCTTTCTCAGGAAATCCAATAAAATTATCTAGGTCATTCTAGGCTGGCAAACGTTGATTTCTCAGTGCGAGTTATCTAAATAAAATACTTGCACACGATATTTTCTACAAAAATAATCTTGTCTCGTAACTTCCGTTCGCTGTCTGTATGACACGTGGAGATGTATCGCATGTTTAATGCATAAAATGTGGATCTCGCCTAAAATTTCAAGAGAGCTCATAATTCGTTCTAACGTTTCAATAATTAATTTTCTTATTCAATTCTTGTGGAAAAGTTAAGAATATTCAATTAGAAAATTAATTATAAAGAAGATTCAAAGTTACATTTAAGCTCCACCTGAATGTAATAGTTTTGACGAGTATAATTAAAATCGACGAAAACTTTTTCAAATATCCAAAACCATTCAATGCTATTATTGAATCTTTTATTGAGATGTTAATTCGCGTGTTCCCTAGTTATTGGTATCAAAAGAATAATTCAGTTGAATCTTAATAAAGCATTCGCGGAGAGCTCCGGGGGGAGTATTCACGAAAATGTCGAGGATTATACGGATCTCTGCAGACACGTTACTTTTACTTTCCTCAGGAGACCTCCAACCATCTGAAATCCCATCCGGCCGTCGGGGAGCTGATCAAGCAGGCGGCGAGCGCCGTGTTTGAACTTCCGGATCAAGCGCAGACGTGTGACCCGAACACGCTGAGGGATGCTCTGTTAACGTACGTGTGTCACGGCGCTTCGCTGCCGTGTGCAGACTTCGACACTCAACGCACGTGCGTGAAAAGCGATCACGTTACCGGATTGTTCGCTTACACGGATTGGGAGTCGAAGCAGATCGCCAAGAGCAGCAGCCGCAACAAGTACGGGCTGCTGAAGGCCTATGGGATGTTGCGCGGCATCGTCACTTTTTTACTGCGTATCATCTCTGAGGCCAGGCCCAAGATCGTCCTCTATTCCGGCCACGACAAGACCTTAGAGTACCTCGCTACCGCCCTCGGCGTAGTCTCTGATGTGGCGACCCATTATGCCTCACGGCTCGTCATCGAGGTCTACAAGATCAATCCGCGGAACGACAATCGGCTTGCCAGCGATTTTTACTTCCGCATCGTCGCCAACGGCCGGGACCTCACGCCGAAGGTCCCGTTCTGTAGGAACGCAAACTACGTCAGCGACGACGGGGAATTTATGGGCAAAAAGAACATCAAGTTATGCCCGATAGAGAACATCGTTAGGCAATTGCACGACGATTACTTTGTGCCGTTCAACGCGACGAACTTTAAAGACGCATGTTCGAGTCATAAGATTCGCTAGAATTAATGGGCATATTCTCGTTCGTGAAACAAGATCGATCCGGTAGGAAAATAGGCGAGTTAAAAGGAATAAAAGAGACAGACTCATCTTCGATGATAATGAATACCTTATCCTCGAAATTAGGACTTCAAGACTGTAGCTCTTTTTTAGATTCTCTTTTATCTCTTTTTATCCTGAATATAATGGTTTAATCACTATATTCGTAAATAGTAAACACATAATGAGAAAAAATCGCTTTAACACAGTCTAATTTTAGATAAGAGATATCATGATACTCTCTTAAAATGGCAAATGTGTGGCTTTGTCCCGGAGTAAAAATAGATAGAAGTGACAAAAAGTGCAGAGAAGCGTTCAACATACAAAGCCAAATCTCTCATTATAGAGAGAGAGAGATCAGAAGTTTAACTTCATAAGGATGAATTCTTACCAATTCTTTTTAATTCACCTACTTCTCATATGACAGGTAGATATATCAAACGGATCTCGAACAATTTTCCAACTTGCACTCTATGCATTATAGATAACTAAGCCGATGTGAAAGTAATTATTAATACTAACGTTCGAAATACATCTGCGAAGAGCTAATCTTTCAATTTTCCTAACAAATTTCTCTTGCGCGGCGTAAATCGCTTTAACCGCGTAAATGCTATTTTCCCACCTAATGAGAAAGTATTTTGATTCTATTGCAAATAATCAGATATATATACAAGATTGTTCTTTTGACATTCGGGACAAGCTCGATTTCAAAATTTTTTTCATCTCGTTATATTGACGCACAGTTAATAAAATTTAAGATTATCGAAAATTATAAAATTTTTAAAAAATGAAAAAAAGAATATGTAAGTTACCATTTTAGCAAGGAACAAGCCTTATCTACATAGATATGTCTAAAACTTTTAACTAACGTATCTAGACAAATTTAAAAAAACGATAGCGCTAATGAGAACCGATTAGTCGATTATTATATATATTTTATCATACTCTATTGTATATATGTAAATATATATATATATATAGTGCTTTAGAAATATATATATATTAAAAACACACTCATATTCCTTCCCCAATTATCAATAAGTGTACAATATATAATTATGACAAAGCGATATATATAGTAACAAATTAGAAATTAATCGTGTTTTAAATAGAATCTGACAAGTGTCTTATCCCAAGTGACAGCATCCTGCTTCACGTTGGTTTTTATATTTAACAAGAATTTGATATATTAAAAAAATTGATTCTTTATTACAGACATCAGAAAAACGACATGCAACTTGAAATATATAAAAAAGCTTATTATAATCCATTGGTAAATAAATAATAAACGCGTTTTACGGCGTACAAGGCACGCAGGTTCACATATTTATACTACATCTTAGGTAACTTACACAATAACAGTATGTCGTAAATAAAAGCAAAGTCTGGCTTAAAGCCGGTTATGTGATTCCGCAGAAATTGCTTTTACTTTACTAACGTTCGATAAAAGCCTCTCGTGTCTTACAACGCTAAAACCTACTTTACATGCATACATCCTTCTTACTTATTAATAACGTCTCATTATTCATGTTTCTCGCAATACACAAATGACACTTCGAAATTGCGTCAAGATTAAAAGAGATAGATAGCATCAATCAAAAATTTCGCAAAATGGTAATGAGTTAAAAATATATAAAAACCGGCAGTCTATTACAGAGTCCATATAAATGCCCAGTTTCAATTATTTCCGGTCAAGCTGACGAAATTCACATTTTCTCCATTGATTTTTTAATAATTGATTAGGACAATGCAAATCGTGCAGTCGAACGGAAATAGAAATCCCATGCAAATCGATCTTTGACGATTGCAATTTAGTCATAAAATACAGAACGCGTTATCAAAAATGAAGAATATAATAATAGATAAAATACAGTTAAACAATTTTATATATTGCAAAAATCTGATTTAAAAATACTAGTATATCAAGTGTAGCGTTTAAATAAGAGAATTAAAATGTGTTCAAAAATTTTATAATTTAATATAGAAACAGTACTAAGTTCATTTAACTAAGATTTTAAGATATCTAAAGTTACATATTCATTCAAGAATTCAAAATTAATCTGGTACCAATATTACTCCAAAAATCTAAAAAAAAAATTCGAAAAACGCGGAGTCATTTTAAAAAACGCGAACTGTATGATATACTACTTGATCGAACAATTATTTGATTGAACAAGTATTCATAATATTAACACTGTACAGCTAAACTTCTACAAATTCTAAAAAATATATATATAATGTTATTCTGAGATAATATGACTAGTACCAGACTCTGCCATAACTGCGCCAAGTGTCTCTTGGAAATTTCTTACATCTTGGTAATACTGCCCGAGCGTAAAACTGCTACCTCCACTGAAATATACAATCCAATATATATTGTATCTAATATATAAAATCAAACGCAAAACGTACATTTCAAATTCACCAAATAATTGAAATGTTCTACATGCAATCGTATTAACAAATAGAAAAAGCTTATGATATTCGTGAATTAACTGATTGAGCTAATTAAATATGTTCGATCAGCAAGAAAATATTTTCTCCAACAAAACTGGATAATCCATAAAATAACAATGTTCTTAAATTAGAAATGCATGCTTTCTTAGTAGATAATACCTTTAGGCTTATACTTTTTTTTACATACTTATTAAAGATTTGTGACATAATCAAGTCTTTCTCTCTCCTTCGATTTTATAAAAATGATATTTGATAATCATTTTACTTACTTTGTCGTCCTTTCTTTTACGGGTGGAGAATGATTTGATGGTGTTTTTCGGACAGATGGCAAATCAATCAACTGATCGACACTACCCATGATAGCATTAGCACCCACGCGTTTCCCCGTTCGCCAGCGTTGAATCAACCACTTCATCCTATGTATACTGATTATCGCAAACACGGCGATCCTGAAACGCACCTTCCTGTTGCGAGACAATCGCGCGTAAGAGCGTTGATCTTGAGTCAATTGCGCAAGTACGCATAACGTGTTTTCCTCGCAGTACTGATAGCTGCCGACAATGCATAACAGGTACTTCTTTTGATAAGCCAACGCTTTCCGTCTACTTTCCACTCGTAAATATTTGCCGTAGAAGTTTTGTAACTAAAATGCAAAATTTACACGTATTTACTTTGCAGCCTAATCATAGTTAAATTCAATTATAGTTAATTAATAATTATTAATAGTTAAATTTATATATTATAAATTATAAAAATATAAAAATTAAATCATTGTTAACAACTTTTAATTCCGAGATACAAGAATTGAATTACTTCAATTTTAGATTAATTAGGTTGAAAAAAATAATTAAATGAAATGTTATACCCTCTCGATAGGAATTGTCTGCTGGCTCAAAGTCTGTGTATTTTTCAGTTTTTTCACCTGTCCCTCAAGCAACTTTACACGTTGCATCGATAGTTCCCTATCTGCCCTCACTCTGCCGATTTTATCCTCGAGATTACTATTCTCAATAGCGTATTTCTCAATTGTCTCGCTTAATTCTTTAATTTTTTGCAGAAAATTCGTAGGGACATCCTTAGCATTTTCAATTAAATCCTTAAATTTTCTCTCTTTTTCTTTTGAAATTGCTAGTCTCATATTGAGCTCCGACTCTCGCTCTTTCAAGGAATCCACTATGCGCGCAAGCTTCAGCTCTCGAGTTGAAGATTCCTTTAATTCCATTTTTGCACGATTTATATCGGCCTCTAGCTCTATTCTGATTTCTCGAGCATCCTTGATCTCTCTGCGCAATTCTTTGATTTCATCCAGTTCAGCTTTTTGTTGACCTTGCTTCATGTTTTCAGTCAACATCTTCACTTGCTCTTGCAGATAATTACAGTGCTCTTCTCGTGCTTTCAGTTCCTCTGCAGTTCTCCGCAGATCTGTCTCTAGGATTTCTTTCAGTCCATTGGTTAATGCCAGGCTGCTGATTAGTCTTTCTTGTTCCTCCGTTCCGATCTCTAACTGCTCCTTATACTTACTCGTTTCGTTCTCTAGTTTCTTTATATTCTCTTTTAGTTGTGCATTTTGCTTTCGACTTTCTTCAAGATTTTCGCTCGTTCTTAAATACAGAAAAAAAAAGTAGGAAACAAATTATTGTTTTTGAAACATATAATTATCTTTTATTTCACTAAAATATAATTAAATTTTATCTGTATAAATATCAACGTTGCAGTGAAAAGATTATAGATAAATAAATATAAATAGTACATAAATAATAATAAATTAATTGAAATTAAAAATTAACACATACCTCTCCGATTCATTTTCCACGGTTCCAGCAAAATTTCGATTGATGTTTTCGATTTCTATCGATTTCCTCATGGACGTCAACTGTGAATCCAAATTAATTTGCTGTTGTCTCATCGACGCTAGATCATTACGAAGCTTTTCCTCGTTCTCCAGAGAGGCTTTCAATTTTGCTTGTAGAAATTCGATCAACTCAGTATCCTGTATTCGCCCTACTTCCGCCATCCGACGATGTTGCTCTATCTCCATTCTCAAGAATTTCACTACATCTCTTTCTGAGAGAAGTTCCTTATTCAGCTTGACCATTTTCTTCATCTCTTCCGTCATATCCGTCTTCAGTTGCAAAATACGAGCCTCGTACTCAACGATTTGATGTCTCATTATATCTCGTTCGACTTCCAAGTCATCCTTTAATTTCCTCAATAACTCGTTGTCCTTGCGTACTTCATTAGTTCTTTGATGATAATTCTCCGTTACTACTCCGTCCACAACCTCGTCGTCCTTAATTACCTGCATAATTTGTTTATCCAATCGCGCAGAAAGATTCAGTTCTCGCTGGACCATATCTTCGATATCACTGTCGTCCTGCGAACGTTGCACAGAGGCATCCTTCAGCTCCAATTCCTTTTGTAAGCTCTGCACCATATCTCTCAATTCCTCGTTCAGCCTACGTTCTTCTTTCAATTTTCTTCTCAGTTCTACAATATTACCCGATTCCTTCATCTTGCTTTGAATAGTCTCCAGTGCTCGATGTAAGCTCTTACTATCATCGCTCATCTGCCTAATTACCTTGTCTTTTTCCTTCAGGAACTCCTGCAAATGATGGATCTCTTGATCCTTGTTGCTAGAAGACGACGGCGAGGAAGTTCCTGACTGAACGTCATTCATTCGTCTCGCCATCTCTTCCAACTTACGGATGACCTGATCCCGATTATTCAAACCATCCGTCAATCGTTGGATCTCGTCCTGCAACTCGGCGATTTCTCGCTCACGCGCGTGAATCTTTGTCTTAAATTCGTATAGTTGCTTGTTCTCGTTCTCGATCTCAATATTGCGCGTCTGAAGAGTCTCCAATGCGATGTCTTTATCTAGGACAAGTTCCTTAAATCTTTGCAATTCTTGTGTCGTATCTTGCAGCAAAGAGTTGTTCCTTTTCATTTGGTCCTTTTCTCTATCTTCAATTTCTCTCTTCAACTTCGTATTCTCTACGTTTAATTCTGTAATGATTCTTTCATTCACCTGCATTCTATCTTTTTGATCTTCGAGCTCCTCCGACTTCAGTTTCAGAATGTTCTCTACTTCTTCCAGATCTTTCTTTATTTTACTTTCCGACGCTTGGGCCAGCTCATATTGTCCTCGATAGAAATTTTTATCCCGCACCAAATTTTCGACAGTTTCCTTGAACTCATCCTGCAAATTTTGATACTGTTTCTGCAAAGTAACCAATTCTATCTCGTACTTGTTCAAAAAGTCAGATTTTAAATCTAATTCTTGTTGTAGAACTTGCAGTTGATTTGATAAGTTTTCAATTTCCTTCACTTTTTCATTGAGTAATTCCTCGACTTGCTGAGAATCCTCACTGATATCGTTGTTTTTGGGAGACGATAATTTTGATTCCTCTCCGGAATGATGCAATTCTATTCCCGAGTGACCGACATTCTCGTTGCTGTAACTATGTGTATTGGAATGCAAATCTAACGGTGGTATTTGCGTGTCTATCTTATCCATGTCGAGCAAAGGTGTTTCTGAAGTGTTGAGACTGTTCATCTGTAACGTATTTTTCAACGTAGACGTAGGAACTTTGAAACTAGAGATATTGTGCGATATTGTAAGTGTCATGTTAGGAGCTCGAATAGCTTCAGGGATTTCTTCACATTCTGAATGAATGGAGAGAATATCGCTTAACGTTCGCGCGCTGTTTTTGGCCTCCGCTTGCTTTGTCACTTCTCGCAGCTGCACATCATCCAAAGCGAGTGATGAATAAACATTCAATTGTTTCTCCTTTTTAGAGAGTTGCTCCTTTAGATGATCGATCTCTTCGTTCTTATCAGCCAGTATAGTATCGATTAGCTGTGGTAATTCTAACTGAGTATGCTCCTGCGTTCCAAGTTTCATTTGTAACATTTTCTTTTCCTCTTGAACAAGTTTTAATTGATCTTTTAGCCGTTCGATTTTTTGTAGTGCGCCATTTTCTGATTGAACAAAATTTTCCATTTCTGTTTCCTTCTCTGCCAACATCTGATTAGTCCTTTCAAGTTGAGCTTTCAGCTCTTTCAATTCTATCTCTTTATCACTAATAGTTTGTTCCAGAGAATGATATTTCGTGATAGCTTCATGTAATTGCAACTCTAAACGAGACGTCGCTTGCTTCTGAGCGAAAGGTGCGCTCTGTTTGTGTTGCTCCAAGCGACCACGCATTGTTTCAATTTGGAACAACTGCTCGGATGCAGTCTGGTGCAAGATCTCTTGTTCTGTTAATAATTCCTCGTTTTGATTTTTCATAGTTGTCAACTGCATTTCCAAATCCTTGATCCTCTTGAATGCTACTTCCTCCGCACGTGCGTGCTTTAGCATTTTATCTTTCAATTTGAGTACTTGATCCATCGGTAGCATCGGTGGTGAGGACGGATCATCCGGTGTCAAACATCTAGTCGCATCGATTTGCTCCCTGATCGATACATCTTCGCTCGGCTGGCTCAAACTTAAATTGGAACCACACATATGCGCAGATTCCATCTCTCGAATTCTCTTATCTAATTGATTTTGCATCTCATGCAATTCTGCTTTCATTTGCTTCAAGACAGACGAATTAACATTGAAGTGTTCTGAACTTAACTTGTGTTTATTCAATTCCTCCTAAAATACAAAGAGTTTTCTCGTAACCATTTTCCTTCCATATGTATTGTTTATGCATTTGCTCACTTTACTTACTTGTAAATGACTAATTTGCTCGTTTAGATGTCTATTCTCACTACCAGATTTGATAGCATCCAGCTCTTGAACTAATTCTTGTTGATTTTTCGTTTGCGCAGTTATTACGGTTTCTAATTGTTTAATCTGCATTTGCAAGGACTCTTCTAATTCAATTTTAATTTGCAACTGCTGCTCCAAGTCAGCAATGAGGTCTCGCAAGACCCATATTTTATCCACTGCAGCCTTCAATTCACTCTCCTTTTCCGACTTCTTTGCCTCGGTGTCGGACATTAATGACGACATTTCTCTCATCTGAGATTCAAGAGCCTCCACCTAGATTGTGTATATATAAATATATAAATTATACACACTAATATACATATATACATACACACACGTATATATATGTGCACGAGTTATCAACGCATCAGTTTTACAGGATGTCACCTATATTTCCAGTCAAGCATGACCCAACATGTAAAGCATGGGGAGATATGGTATGTATTACAATATATCTACTTATATTTATTTTAAGCTAATGTACAGTGGGTAAGAAACAAAAATAATATATAATTATCTAATCAATAACACAAAAAATAATTATATTATTACTAAAAAATAAAAATTACTTACAAAATATAGTAAATAAATAAAAATATATAAAAATATATAATTCTATCTATACATATAAGTAGTCTGAACTTTTTTTTTTATTACAACACATTTAAACACTTTTTTACTTCAAAATCGTTAAGAAAATCTGTAAAGCATTTAAATGCATTTTGATAGTCACATTATAAATGTAGAGAAATAGGTAAATTATTATATAATTCATTATTCAAATATTTTAGCAAATATGGATACTTTTCTTAGCCACTGTATGACGATGAAAGAATCATAGAAAAAGTTAAAAAATCAAAGTAAATACAACACTCACAGCTGCATTGATGTCAGTCGTTTGAAGCTCAGGGATGTCTGTTCTTTCAGATGATAGCTCAGACTGCTTTGTGCGACAAACAGAAAACCAAAACCAGAGTGCAGAAAAAACTTGTGTTAATACAATTAGTTGTGATGCGTGATACTAATCGCTGACGATACAATTAATTTCCGATAGCCCTTTCAATTAATAGTTAAATTTACGTTCTATATTATACTATTTTTAAAAGAATTATCTTTAGATTAAGGAACCTGCTGGTCAAAGTATATAATTATATTTTGCGAAATATGTATTTTAGGAATATAGAATTTAGGAATACATAGAATTCATATTTATATTATTCATATTTAGAATTCAAATTATCATATAGGATTTTATTTAATATTTTCTAATATATTCTAACATTGGATAAATATTATACAATCCATTCTTCAAAGATCAATATAATGCAATCTTTTCTCAGCAGTTTTAAGTTTATGTTAAATTTATATATTAAATAAACTACAGAAACTTACAGTTAAATTTTGGAAATGGCAGTCGTTATGCCAGTTAAAATTTCCTGGTTAGTGCAATAATTACTACAGCAAATTAAGAAAGTCTGTATTAAATTAATTAATCCTTAATTAGTCATAAGTTAAATTATTACATGGTATTTCCTTTGAATTCATATACTATTAACATTTTTTAATTTAAAGAATCGAAACAATATCTGTTTTTGTTTTTTCTGAGAATAATTATACTGCAAAAGTTTTGATATATTAAAGACAATATTTTACAATATTCAATATATATGAATATCGTCCATCCATTGGCATTAATTAAGGATTAATTGAGCAACAATAAACCTAAAGCTAACCACAGCGTGTGATTATGAAAAGCATATATCGTGTTTATACTCAGCAACAAATACTTTCGTCACGTTTAAAAAAAAATTAAGTAAGCACAATGAATATTTTTACCTCGGAAGTAATACGCATATCTCTTTCTTTATCGCGCTCGCGTTCCTTGAGCTGTTCTTGCAAAAAGCGAATTTGCTTCGTAGCTTCATCTCGCTCCATTTCACGCTCACTCGCTTGCTCATCCAGGAACCGACGGGTTGCTCGTAACTGCTTGTCCGCTGCCTCAATCTAAACAAACGTATATAGTTCTAGTTAGAGGTAATTATCGTGTCCCACGCGCAACAATGCACGCATATGATAAAAGTGATTAACTTAAAGTAGAATAGTTTATTTCCTGCATTATTTAAGCCATTTTCATGTAACGATCAGTCAGTTATATATGTATATATATATGTAAGAAAAAAGATAATTATTTAAAAAAAATTTTCAGAATTAAGATTATATATATATATAAATTATATTAATAGATTTAGGAAATTAATCAAATCAATTCGAATATTTTAAAAGAGATAGAGATGTGATATTAAAGAAACATTTTTGTATATTTACAATCCTTAAAGAAATAATTTCTATAATAAGAATTCTATAATAAGTTCTATAATAAGAATTTAATCATATACACCTAGAGGAAGATTTCTTCGATTAAAAAAAATGTTTCTTTATTATATACGGTTAAAAAAAATTTCTTTGATTTAAATATCATTCATTAACTTAGGAACTGTCATTTCTTATATTTAAATATCATTTTTGAACGTTATTCTTTTTATTTATACATAATTTTTTTAAATAAAAAAGATTTATTTGATTTCAAAAATGATTTTGAAGTTAAAGAGATGGTGTTAAAAGAAATTTTTTCTTTAACCATATAACAAAGAAATATTTCTTTATATTAAAGAAACCTTTTTTTGGGTGTAATATTTTAATAATACTCCAGTTATTTAGTTGAATCCATTTCCCTTCCCCTCATTCATAGTAAAATGAAATAGTTCAAAATAAAATAAATTATAAAAATATATAAGCAGTACTAAATAATCTTTCAGGCAAAGATATTGAACATAAAACGAAAAAAAAAGATTATTCCAATATTAAAACATCATAAATATAAAAAGTAGAAATAGAAAATTTCTATTTTTAAAGAAATTTATATAAAAGCCAAATATTGAATATTTGAATACTAATTATCAAATGTATATGACTATAAAATTAGAGGGGATTAATAAAAGTTATACTCCAATGAATTTTAATTACAATAAAATAAGCAATATATTATAGCAAGAAAAATCTCTCTATAAAGACATATTCAGATATTGTGATATATAATATTAAGACAATATAGCATGCAAAGCAATTATTGTAGTTTACGACAACATGCAATATACATATATTAACAAACATAGTAATAATTATATATATTTTTTAATAACTATGATAAACATATGTGCAATTATTGTTATGGACAGGTATTAGAAATGAAATAAATGACATTTCAATAAAAAAGCTCATATTATACTTCTTAATTGCAACGAAATGTTACAAATATTAATTTAGTTTCGATCTACAAATAACTTACGGACAGCGTTTACAGTAATATTAGTAATTCTATAATTTACCTTTTTGCAGCAAACCCTGTGAATGTATGGGGTAGGAGTAGGTTCTAAAGGTACCTGCTGGCAAGACAATAGAACGCCAATCAATCTTTTAAAACCTGCATCACAGAGCTCTGCACTTTTGATTTGGAAGATGCCTCTTATTGATTAATTAAATAATTATTTTAATAAATTTAAACTGCCATACGTGCATAATGTTCTAATTTCTGGCTGCTTTATAAATTACTGAGGAATACTGGTCGTTATTTTATATGGAATGTATAAAGAAAAAAGTGACTATTAAATTAAGTAAATTTATTTTTAAATTGCTAAAAAGTTCAAAATCTAACTAATAAAGCTCAATTAAAGTCAAGAATTTTCATATTTAAAAATCATGGAGTAATAAAAATGAAGAAAATTAAAATTTCAAAAAAATTGAAATTTAAAATAATACACATACAAAGATTTAAAAGTTTATAATTTCAACAGATAAAGTATGCAAAAATTTTTGGAAATAAAAGAATCTAACCCCCGTATTCATAGTCAGACCTTATACTTAAGGCTTCCTTAAATTTATCTTCAGATGATTTACGAATTATTTTATTGACTACTGAGTATCTAAAGATAAATTTAAGGAAGCCTTAAATATAAGGTCTGACTATGAATACGGGGGTAAATATTTTTTTCGCTTTCTTAAAATATTATGTACACAGTGTGCATAATGCAACATAATTTTTTCTAGTTTTAGTACTATTTATCAAAAGAAATATTAAAATATTACGTAAATATAGACACGTATAAATAATATTAACAAACTTCACTACAATTACATTGTGTAAAATAATGTGCTATACAAATAAAAAATGATTGTGTTAATTGTTGATATACGGTAAAATATGTATAAATATTGTAAACACGAAGCTCATAGACAGAAGTGTGTAGTCTTAATGAATTACAAAGACAAGTTTTCAATCGCAATATTCATCACCGTACTATCATACCAATATCGAATAATTAGAAATCATGCAACAATGCACTTTCAGTGAAAATAATAAATAAATGATTTTACCTGTTGTTGTAAATCTTCCCTTTCTTTCCTAGCATCATCTATTAGTTTATCATTTTGTCTGCATAGTTCTTCTATTAATTGCAGCAAATAAGATATATCACCACCACCATTAGATAATACATGTCTAGCTGTAATTTAAATTTAAAAAAGTCAATTATATAAGAAAAATATAAATATAAAATGTTAAAAACGTAAGGAATATAGAATAAATAATGCAATTTATATATTCAAGTTCAAATATTTTTAATTTGAAACAATATGATAAATTTGAAATTTTAAATGTAAATATAAACAAAAAAATAAACGAAGTTATTCATTTTTAATATATATATATATATATTCATTTTAATTACATAAAAATAGGATAAAAAGTTTACCTTTTTCTTGCACTTGCGAAAAATCTTGTAACGCAATATCGCCCCTAGAAAGATCATTTTCACCATATCCTTCCGTAATGATTTCTTTTTTGCTTTCAGCGTTAATCAACTTTCGCTGGAGTTCCAAAATATGTACTTTCAATTGTTCTACTTCTTCTTGGTAATTTATAATCAAAGCCTCAGTATGATTCAGTTTCAAAGAAAGCTCTTCATTAATTTCATTAATTTTGCTTGATGAGAGATCATCATTTGACGATGGAATCTTATCCTCTCCCTCAGACATTGATAAATTAAGGACTTGTGTGCTATCAGACTTTAAGCGTCTCAAACAAGCTTTCAGCTCTTTTTTTAATATTTCGTCTGTGTCTTCATCAACTAAACTCTGCAACATTTTGTTGTCGCTGTTAACGATGGAAGCTATTTTGGACGATTGCGGAGCAAAATGGACTCTCTTGATTCGTTGGTTTGATTCCTTGTGCGGTATTTCAGATAAAATAGTGTCATTGCTCTTATTTAAATTCTCTTCAGCGATAAAAGCGGACTCTGACAATTGTCGTTTTAAAACTTCATTGATCAGAGTATTATTAACTTCTTCTTCACAAACAGAGAAATAGTTAACTAATTCTCCAATTAGATTTTTAAGAGTCACACATGCCTTCCATAGATTGTCTCTGATAAAAACGAGATATAACGTACTTAAACAATGATTACATCATTAATACATATTATAAGAGTAATCATATTATATAACAAGAAAAAACTCTATCTTTTCAGTGTGTGTGTGTGTGTGTGTGTGTGTGTGTGTGTGTGTGTGTGTGTGTGTGTGTGAATATAACGATTATGAGTCTATTACTTGATATTTTACACACAGAAGTCCTGTGCCCCTGTGCAAGGGTAGGGGGGGGAGTGAAAGTAACATCGCGTGGAAAGTTTAACGTTTCTGAACAGAGAAAGGTGTAG